CTTGTTAAACCTCCAGGGCACCATTGGCCTTCCTGCCAAACATGTTCCCACTGGTTGCTTCCTTCTTCATGATCAGCCCAGTCTTGGTCAACAACTCTTTTTCCCAGCTGATCATGAATACTTTTATTTTTTAAGCGTCGATCCATGTTATTATGATGATATGCATTCTGGGCATGGATAGATCGGAGGTTGATTTGAGATTGCCTAAATTCCCAATATTGATTGCCGCATTCTGGACAGTCATGTCTGGTAGGCAATTTCAAACCTTCGTTCCAGCAGTATCTGAAGAAAGGACAATTCCAGTGCGATTCAGCTTGTTTCCTTTCATACCTCTCTTCTTCCAGTTGACGTTGGTATTCTTGATCCTCTAACCATTGTTGATAATCTTTTTCCTTCTGCCGCCGCCACTTATTCAACAGGATCCAAGATGTGACTCATGGCTTCTTCGCTCCATCCTTTGACGTTTCCCCTTGTTCATATCGGCTCCTCTGCTGATCACGACATTTCCTAATCTCTCTGTATTCATCAGCCAATATTTGCACCTCGGGATCAACTGTTCTAGCTTCTCTTGATTTGGCCGATGTTAGGACCTTAGTTTTTCCTTTGAATAGCCCAACATCAACCATATTTTGATCTCCTGGGAAAGGATTATCATCCACCTTCATCTTCCGAGGTGTATCAAACTTGAGCCTCCCTTGCTGAATAGCCTTCTATATATGCTGCTGGAAAATTTTGCACTCATTAGTAGAATGAGAAGTAGCATTATGGAACTTGCAGAACTTCTTATTCTTTAATTGTTCAGGGGGCAACATAACATGATTGTCCGACAATTTGATCTGGCCCTTCTCAAGTAAGAAGTCAAAGAGCTTGTCCGATTTTGTGACATCAAAGTCATAGCTCTCCACGACCCCTCTTTCCCAAGGATTTGGCACCATTACTGTCTTCTTGCCCCAATTCCATTCAGCTGCAGCAATCTCCTCTTCTTCATCTTCATAGCCGTCATCCGCTGAGTATGGATCGTAAGCTTCGGCTACGGTGGTGCTCTTCTGGAATCAGGTATCTCTGCGCATACGCTGGAGTTGGCTATTGAGCGCTGCTACTCGTTGAGCCAATTGACCCAAGTTGTCAAATTCTTGTCCTAACAGCTTTTCTTTCCACATTGGCAACATTCCTTGGACAGCTAAAGCAGCTAGCTAATCATCAGCCAAGTTCAATGTGAAGCACAAGTTCCTAGTCTCTCGGAATCTCTGAAGAAACTCAACGCCCAATTCATTAGTCCTCTGTCTCATGGTTGTCAAATCGGTTATCTTCTTCTCTCTAGTCCCAGTGTAAAAATATGTATGAAACTTCTTCTCTAGGTCAGCCCAATTAGCAATAGAGTTGACTGGTAGTGACGAGAACCAAGTGAAGGCTGGCCCTGACAGGGATAAGGAGAAGAAACGAACTCGATGGGCATCCTCAACTGATGCTTCACTCAATTGTGTAAGATACCGACTGACATGTTCTATTGTGCTTGTACCGTCTTGATTAGTGAACTTGGCGAACTCTGGGAGCCTATAATTTGTAGGAAGAGCGACCAAATCATACCATTCTGGATATGAGCGTTTGTACGAAAAGGTCAGACCCTTTGGCTTCAGACCGAGCTGATTCTTGATCATCTCGGTCACCTTCAGCAGCAACTCGTCAGCTTGCGGATTTGGATTTCTCGATACTTGCTGACCCATCTGTGGATTGAAATCCCACATGCCTTGATATCCTGGATTTGGCATCATGTGGAGGGTGTTATAATTCGTGCCATAGTGATAGCCTTGTGGAATCTCAATCTGTTGGGTCCTTTGCTGGCTTGCTGCCTGAAGTCTCTAATTATAGACATAAGGATCTATATTTCTACGGATCATTTGAATTGATTGTGCTATTTTTTGAGCCGATGACGGTATGTGGCCTGATGTGCCAAAATTGACAAGAGTCGATAACTAGCCTATACCAGAGTCGCAGTGGGGGTCGATCAGATCGATGCAGCCATACGAACAGAGGTATAAACCATGACGGTACTTACAGACAAGCAGAGGAGGTCGACCGGATCGATGCAACTGTACTCGCTGAAGAACTCACCGAGATCTACTCTATTCCTACTCCTAAGGGGTGGCCAGAGCCGAAAAAAGTAATTGACTTGTATTTGATTGATTGTTGTTCTTTTACAATAGCCGGGGTTTGGTATTTATACCCGGAGTTTAAACATGAATCCTACTCGAGCACGATTTGTTACAACCTTTGACATAAAATGAAAACTTTCCTAATTTAAGATAACTTGGACTCTAATCTTTCCCTTTTTGTAGAGTCCAGCATGTCTCGTCCTAGCGCCGATCGTAGCCTCTGTCGTTATCTGCTGGCGCTACCTGAAGAAAGCCGATTCTAGTGTTGTGTCCGAATCAACTAGCTCCGATCTCCACGCAGCTGATTCCTTGATGACATGATTTTTGGGAGCTTCTAAATCCCTGCGACTCTTCTTCCAAATTCTGGTGTAAACAATACCTATTGATGTTGTAGGACTTATACAACACCTGTTGTTGGTTTTTCGAAGAAGATGAATAATATAAACAAGGATCTTATAATACAGGAGCCTGTAGAATCAATGGCCTCTTGGCAATGAAGAGCAACAACAGCCCCATATGAAAGTGCGAGTAGATGAGGCCCCAGAAGGTCTCAAAGAATTAGTAAACTAGTTTTTCCTATGACTATGAAGTCTATGTTAGTAAAGAAATTCAAATAGAGGGTGATTGCACCTTATTTAAAGAAGCCATGAGAAACGTTTACTCATTTAAATGGCAAGAAGCTTTGGAAGTTGAAATGAGTTAGATGAATACCAATGATTTTTTTGGGACTTAAAGTAATTCCTAATGGAGCCAAAATAATAGGCTGTTAATGGGTCTACAAGACAAAATGTGACTCCAAAGGGAATGTAGAAAGATATAAAGCATGACTTGTAGCAATATGCTTTATGCAAAGAGAATGAATAGATTACGATAAGAGTTTTCTCTCTAGTCCCATGCAAGGATTCTTTAGAATCATAATGGTGTTCATGGCATATTACATTTTAGAAATACATCAGATGGATGTAAAGACGACATTCCTCATCGGGGATTTATATGAAAATGTTTACATGGCATAACCCAAAAGGTTTTGTCATGGAAGAAAAGAACATAAGGGATGCTGCCTGTAGAAATCCATTTATGGGTTAAAAGTAAGTCTCTAGACAGTAGTATTTGAAGTTGATGAAACGATAAGAAAGTTTGGGTTTTAAAGAAAATAAGAAGGACAATAGCGTTTGTGCAAAACTCAAGAATGGAAAATTCACTTTCCACATCCTGTGAATAGATGATATTCTACTCATTAGTAGTGATGTTAATCTATCATTGGAGAAGAAGTTTTGTCCTCAAGTTTCAATCTGAATGATCTTGGTGAAGCGTCATTGGTTCGAGGAATCAAAATTCACCAAGATAGAAGAAAATAGGATATTAAGACTATTGCAAAGGCATACTTAGAAAATATTCTAAAGAAATAAAGTGTGCATGCGAGTAAACCAACGCGTGCTCCTATAGTCAAGGGTAATAGATTTGGAAACTTTAAGTGTTCCAGGAACCGATATGAGATCGATCAAATGAATATGGTTCCATATGCTTCAGCTGTTGGAAGCTTGATGAGTGTACATGTACAAGTAAGAACTTACCCTGACGTAGTTTACGTATCCGGGATATTTTGGCAGAAGTCCAGTCCAAATATAGATCATTGGAATTTAGTTGAAAATGTCTTGCAATTTTGCAAAGTATCATAGACCTCATGCTGAGTAAGAAAGAACAAAAACTCTCAAAATAGTTGAGGGTACAAATGTTAAGTCTTGGCGAGATGTGTAGTGAAATCCACAGCAATAGCTAACACTCGCAGTTGAAGTTTTATTATGGAAAAGCTCCAAAGAAACAGTTGTGGTATCATCAGTAATGCATACTATAGTATAGCTTGATATGAGGCTTAAGGAATAGGTAAAAGGATGTTAAGGGAATTTGTACCTAGATTTAACAATGGTAGACAACAACAACAACCATTTAAAGTAAGTTAACTCCTAAGACAACAAGTCAAGTGTGCTGCCAAACACATTGACACTAAGGTATATGTTGTAAAGGAGAAAATCCAGAATCATTTTGAAAGCATTGAGCATATAAGTACCAAGTAAGTACTTGCGGAGTACTTACCACCCAGTGCGTTCAGAGAACACACGGTAGACATGGGTTTATGGGAAAGCCTATGATTTCTAGATACTAAGGGCCTAGTTGAGTATCTATTTCAAAACAGAGAGGTGCATTGTAGCTGTTAAATCTAATGACAACTGACCGTGACGATGAGGCACGCTCTATGCATTGATCTATGATAGAATGGGAAAAAGAAAAAGGAAGTTAAGTTTAAGTCATAAGATGAGATCAAGGGGGAGAATGTTAGTTTGATCTCCACCAACGGCCATTTGGGCCCTTGGATCCGTGCCCTGATCGGGGGCTCCCAACCGCTCCATAATTGGTGGCCCCCCATTGCACAGCACCATAAAAGGGAGGTGGGGGCTAGGGCACAAGGCATGAGGTTCCCCTGAGCTACCAGGCGCCCCACCGACTATTCCCTAATCCTAACCGATCTAGAGAAAGGGTGCCGCCAGCAACGGGAAGCCACCACCGACTTCACCATCGCCTCTGCATCGCCACCACTGCGCCGGACTTCACCGCCCGCACTGCGTACCCGCTGCCATGGCGGCTACTTCCTCCTCTACCTCCGCTGTCAAGCCCAAAGGTATGGCCCCTCTACTCTCTCTGCCTCCTTGTCCCAAGTTCACTGTTACTCGATTTGAATCAACCAGTAAGCAATTCAGAATCAACCAGTAAGCAATTCACCCTTAGTACTACACCAAGATGAATCCTAAGCAACTAACAGGTACAACGCTCAAATTTCCTATGGGCGCCATGCCAAGGCTTGAAGAGCTGCAGTTTGGTGTTTTTGCAGGGTATTGGAGTTGGCAAGTTAATGGTGTGCCGTTTGAGCAGTTCCCAACAAAGGATGAAATCGAAGATCTTGACTTGGGCCTGGATAACCTCCTTTCACTTGAGAAAGTCACCGTTACAGTCGACTGCTTGGGTGCTACTGCCGCAGAAGTGCAGGAGGTGGAGGCCATGGTCACGCGTGCGGTGGAAAATCATTCCAACTGTCCAACTATAAAAGTGGATCGAGCATGTGAACAAGATATGTTATCTGACGAAGAAAGCGAGGATCTGGTGAGTCCCTATCTATTAAAAAAATACGTTTAATTTGCGTGGGTACTATTTATTGACCTGTTTACTGCATTCGGCTCCTTGCAATTCTCAGCATCAGCAACACATTCAACAACGTTACCATGTGCTCCGATCGAAGGATGAGCTCGATGCTTGGTTCATCGCCCACCTGCGGTCGTACCGACTTCTTTAGAAAGCCGTTATTTCGATCGACTGTGCAGGTGCCAGCCTGTGTGAGGAGGAGAAAGTGGAAGCAGCTCGACGAAATGGTCTCCTCATCTGACCATCCCGTCACAGAGGTAGCAGCCTGGATTGAATTTTTTTTAGTACTTATTAATGGAAACCTTAGCTTTGACTATATAACTTACCATCGGCGCTTATTTTTCCTTCCCAAACTCCAGCTGGACGATGATCATTTGCTTTGCAAACTCCCGCTCAGTAATTGATAACTCTTGTTTCTCCAGTCCTTCCAACCCAGCAGGTAAGTGTCAGTATGTGGATGTGTTTTATTGCTTCAAATTTTATTGCTCTATCTAGTTTATCACGATTCACTGTCATGTATACGTGTCAGTATGTGGATGTGTTTTTACATGTGCATGCTCAGTTGGTTGTTTACATGTGCATGCTCACACATGTTTTCTGTGTGTTGGAACTATGAATGTGCAAATTGAAGGTACTTGGTTCCGAATACTAGATTGAGTGATTACATAATGCTGCATAGCCAGAGAAAAATGGGTATCCAACAATGATCTTATACAGTGAGTGGTCGGTTTGTGTTGGGATAATGGATCCCAACAGAGTGAGTAGAGATAGAGTCTCCGCTTGGGCGAAGGCTCAATGAAAGGATGAGAACTTAGGTGGGCTCAAACACAATTAGGGTTTCATAAATAGCATTTAACAACCTCCCTTTTTACATAGGGTTCACTCCCCCCTTTTATAGGCCACTATGCATGATGAGGTTCATTTACAATCATGCCATTAGGTAGTACGAGCATATTCTTAGGATATTCCCGTACATAAGCAAACCTCTGAGGGCATCTCGGGTCTCCTCCTTCACCAACCGCCTTGCTCTATGGGCCTTATCCCGCACCCATTGGAGGCCCATTTGCCATTTAGGATCCATGCACCATGGGAGATCCCCTTTATGTCGGCGGATGACCTCATTGATTCCTGCCGCCTCCTGGGTCCTCCTGTCCGCCTCCGCCAGGATGGCCTTTGCTTTTGCCCTGCATCAAGCCTACGCCACTCGGGGCCTTCACCGTCGTCCTTGAGCCTTCGCCTGTCTAGGGGGCGCGGGCGAAGGCTTCCTGCATAATCCCTGCAGATTATTTCTCATATGATTCACAACATTAGCCTTTTCTGGTAGGATGGGTACTCAGCCTCCACGGCTCATATGTTTGTGTCCCAACAGTTTGTATTTTCCTGTCCTAATATGTTTATATTTTGTGAAAGCACGAGTATGTGCATCTCTTAATTGTCCCCTTCCTTTATGCTCTTAGGAAAATTGATTTGTAATTTTAGGCACCGCCATTGTAGATGATGGCAGCCGGTTGCTCTGGCACCAATCATCCTAGATGATGCTATTAGCTCATGGATGATGGCAGGGTACAAGGGCCTCTCGGTGCTTGCTTGCCGTTGATCATCCTTGTGGGTTGGGGGTGGTTCATTTTACTTGTTGTGTTCTTTTTTTTTTGCTTGTGTTTATTGTATTCTTGATTATCCTTAATGAAAAACGTTCTCAACAAGTTCTCCAAAGAAAATTTTCGGCGCCAGCATTCTAGAACATAATCACCAACAGCTTTTTTTAGACATTCTATGAGTTTTCGGTTACTGGATGTATGCTCAGTTTCCTTCTTTTATTAAACAAAGTTTCCAATTTTTTTCAAGCTAATTTGGTTGTTCTTGTTTCAGTTAGTAGACATCAAAGTTTGGTACAAATTAAAAGTTGATTCGCAGATTAAAAAAAAAGAATAGCTAACCAACTGAAACGCACCACGTATGCTAATCCAACTGATTTCCTTATGGCAGCCCTGATAAAAAGTGTGCTAATATCTGGAGAATAAATTTTAACAGGTTAATTGGTTTGATATGTCCTAAGATGATTTTAAGTTAAATGAACTAATCAAATCATCGAGGTAAACCAATATATCATGTACCTGGATGGTAGTTCATGTTTTAATCTTGTAATAGTGTTTTTTCTAGATTGAATTGTTTTGGATTAGGTGTATTCCTCGGCAAAACCACCTTATCTCATTATGCTCTGCTTGAAGAAATTCTGCGGTTACATTTTCCTTTACATGGTTGCTCCATCATTTGCATTTCAACTTATTTACTATATATGCAAATCAATATTTCAGGTAAATGTGAGTTGTTTAAGCACTGAAGAGTCGTCCCATTCAGCAAGATGATTACAAGCATTCGCAGAGCTTATCATATTTGTGTTTCTCACTCTAAAATCACATTGAAGAGGCAGATGAACCACAAGTGTGAACAATATTTGTCTCTATTTTTGTAAGAAGGTTTATATATTTCCTCGAAAGTGATCTTGTAGATTTTATGTGAAGTGTATTTTTATGACATGGGCCATGTATTTCCTTGAAAACAACCATGAGAGTTTGTATGTGAACTATACTTTTCCATTTTTTTCTGAGATGAGTTGTGTATTTGCTTGAAAAACAAGGATGATATATTTTCCTTGAAAATAATCATGAGAACGTTTGAACTCTAATTTCTTAAATAAAGTGATCATCATGTATGTGTGATCTGAACCCTGTATTCTCAGTGCCAACGTGTGGGTTTTTGGTGCAAGCTGTTGTTATAGCTTGTCTTTGTTGTCTCTATATTGTTCATATTGTAGCACAATACTCATCTAGGTATTTTCTTATCAATATCTGGTTGTGATAGATTTTAGTTACCAATTGCTTATTTGCTTTGCATATGGTTTATAGTTGTCCACTTTGCATCGCACCTCAGTATGTGTTCACATATGTTTAATTGAAAATATCTCTCATTTGTTCATATTCTACTTTTCGATCATTGTTCATGGTTTCTTATTTGCATCACACATCCATGTATTTTTGACGTGTGTTCAATTAATAGTCTTTCATGTGTCTGCATTCTAATAGCTTACTTGAATCACACTTCGAATATTTATCCGCTTATGATTGACTTTAGTTACTATTTATATTATATACTTTTTCACCCCCTTATTCATATTTTCCATCTTTGCATACAACATTCACGTGTGCTTAGCTATGTATTTAGCTCAAAAATCAACATACTCATTGCTTTATACATATACATATATGGGTGGAGGTGGAAATTAGATGCAAATTTCGGTGAGTTACTTTTTATTAGTTTTCGTATTGGCATTTATGAGTAATTTAGATGAAAACTAAGGGGTTACTAAGTTATTTTACATAATGACAGTGGTGAATTATTTAGATTAAGATTTACAGGATTGTTACTTTAGAGTAATTTTAAAACGGCCAAGGGGAGTAGTTTTTTTTAGAAAAAAAAACAAAATAGACTTAGGCCCTGTTTGATTGAGCTGTGGTTTTTGGAAAAGTTATTGTGAGCTGTGATTTTTAGAAAAGCTGTTGTGAGATGTCGACGACTGTGAGAAAGCCAAAAGCTATTTGGTTCATCAGTAGTTGTGGTTTTTGTAAAAATAGTTGTCAGTCTCTCTCACTTACGAGCAGACACCACATGTCATCCACATGCCTCCCTACTCAACCCCCTCTCTCTTTCACGAGTGGACCCCATTCGCCAGGATCTTCTTCTTCCTCTTGACAGTACACAGATCTGCGCTGCTGTACATCCGGTGCTCTCCCCCGGCGAGGCTCGGACAGGGTGCCAAGGTGCTCTCCACCGGCGAGGCTGACTGGCCCTAGAGCTCCACCTCTGGCAAGGGATCCCCCAGGGCCGCCCCCGCCTCATAGCCCCCAGTGCCGCATGTGACAGAACCACCCAATTTATACAAGATTAAGTACGGTTGTCCCCGCTAACACGTTGACACACCCATACTTTCACTCATATAAACCCGGTAGTCCGCCGAGTGTCCCGAAAGACCTCGGTAAATCAACATCACAACCAAGATCGCGTGATTAAGCAAATACACATCACATACATCGAGTTGCAGCGGAAATAATATTACAAAGGGGTTAACAAATAATAGTACGAGTTTGGGTTTCAAAACTGATTAGTGAAAACAACATAGCTTTCAAATGATTACATTAATATAAGTTCCAAATATATTGCTAGTATAAGTGACATCATCCGACAAAAGCATATAGACGAGAAGTAACTATAGAATCACCGAGCCCACCGGCGGTTAGCCACCATCAGCAACAGGTCGAGAACTTCACCTGCAACAAGGTGGGATAAACCCTGAGTACTCGAATGTACTCAGCCAGACTTACCCGTCGGAAACCAAAACAAATGACACCAAGGATCATGCAAGGCTTTCTTTAGTGGGCTAGCTGACTTGTTTGCGAAAAGCATAAGCTATCATGAAGAAACCATTTTAAGTACTTTGCATCATCTTTATTATGACATATCCATCTAGGTAAGCACCTGTACTATAGCAATCACTTGATTAACCAATAATATCCAGTTACCAACTTAGATTTAGCATATCCCATATCATCCAGATAACCATCATTGTTCCATAATAATTACTACGATGCCGTAACTCGAGTCAAGTGCTCACTATCCAGGAGCGATGGCGATTCGAATCGATTCCTAACCAGCTGGTGATTTATTCCTTACACAAACCTCACTCACCCGCTAAAGTGAGGTATTGATCACCGAGTCAACTATCCAGGACTCTCGAGTTTGCCAGAAACCACATGTACCCGGGGGCCGACCGACTGCACTTTGGTCTTATCATCTCGCCCCCGTGTCCTACCACACCTGCTCCGGCACAGTGCGCTGTGGGCAATCTACTTGGCCCGAATAATCTCCCAGCTTCGCGGTCGGAAGGTACTTTATCCGGCCAGCTAAATGTAAGGCATGCGTTCAACATGACTCGAGGGCCAACAACGGTCGGTCCTTAATCGACACAGATGGAAACTAACAGCACCCCAGAACCCTGTCTGGTTGCCTCCAACTTTTCCGTCCGGTCTTCAATTATCCATCACACATGGTTACTTCCAGGATATCATTCTTTCCATAGCTAAATTCTTCCAGTAA